CCCCCCCCCCCCCCCCCCCCCCCTCAAACAAAAGTGATCCTAAATGGAAATGAAAGAAATTAAATAATAAATAGGGGGCACACAACAACATGATGACAGGGGGTAGCTATGATATATGTAAAGTTTTGCTTAAATCGGCCTAGTATGAAGGGTTGTCCGGACAATAATATTTCAACATAGGGTCATAACGCCGTGAAAAAATGTCGGAATGAAATATTACTACTTGACTGTACAATGTCAGGGGTAGTTACCATATCTATACACTTTCGTTGATATTGGCAAAGTAGTTTAAGGAGAGGTTGTCACGGCATGGAGTTTTCAACAAAGGGCCATAACTCCATAAAAAGGTCGGAGAAAAAATACTACCAGGATGAACAACATCAGAAGGTAGTTATCATATCAGAAAAATGTTGTTGAAATTTGCGCCGTAGTTTTGGAGGAGTTGTCCGGACAAGGACTTTTCAACGAAGGGCCATCAACCGTAAAAAATTGCCAGAATTTAAAAAAGACTGACCTGTCCCCGGTCTGGAGGTCTGTGATCTGCACTTGGTCCAGGTACCAGGACCTCATTTTACCCTTCCCTTTATTGTCATGCCATATCCTCATGAAGTTCAAAGGTCCTAGGCACGATTCTACGCTCAGAATGTAGTTCATTATACTACCTCGAACGAACGTCTGCACAAATGTACGTAAATAACATAAGTCCATCTTATTATGCATGGGAGCAGGCAGGATTTGATTCAAATGATATACTTGATCATAAGTTTTTGAAATAAATAGTTTGAAACATTTTACATACAAAGCATGCAATTTCCTTTTGAATTTATGCTGTAATATTAATTATCGTTTAATATCAAAATGTTTGTTGTTTTCTTCGTATAATTTCGTTTGTATGAGATTAACAGAGGCATCCTTTTATTAAAAACTATACAACATCTCTGAGACAGGAATGCCCCTTATCAGTGATTGACAAATTTCTTTCAATAGCAACAGTAGCTTTGATTTTGTTGACCTGTAATTAGCAAGCGACCTTGTCGTTGACCTTGGGATGATATAATTTGCATAATTTTTATGAAATTCTGTTAAGAAATGACGTCGGTGGTAACGCGACGCGACGGGACGGAGACGACCGATATAATGGTGGGAGTAATACAGATGTTGGGTTACCTTTCGCTGGCCGTCGTACAAACGCCGGACACCAGTGTCACTCTCCTCTCCAGATAGAATAAAGCTGACCTCTGAGTTGGTGGCTGCCAGTTTGCGGACCCCTGTCTGAACGGTCACTTGGTAATGGTAGTTATCCGTCGGGAGGTTGTCGTCAAGCGGTGAAGCTCCCCACTGGTATAAAACACCAAAGACATCAATAGACGAAACTTTACACTACTAACGTGAGATACTGGATTGTTACCAAAGCCCCATGTATTATTACTTTAATGATTTGTAGTATGAAAAGGCTACGCTATGATTTAGTCAATATAAAACAGATGAAGTTCGGTCTTTTGACTTGGCGACATTGTATATATATTTATAACATTCTCGTTAAAACCTAGAGACCATTCGTGTCACTTGAAGTAATTACGAATAGTAAAGCCTGTCAATTTCCCTTAAGTTCTATTGGTTTTGAGGAAAAACTCCCGTAGGAAAATTCGGCCAAGGACAAATATGACATCTTTCGATTTGTAGAATATGTGTCATAGTGTCCTACCTTTTGTACATCCTTCTTGTCCTTGTACCTTGCCCAGATCAGCAGAATGATGTATAAACCCATAAGGGAGATCACTGTAGAAAACACAGCTGCGTTTTCGTTCAGGTTCTTGAACTTTGCCCATACGTTAGTAAAGTCGATGGTGTTTGGCGGAACAGCAAAGTCTCCTCCAAAAGATGTTAGATGGTTGGTCATGCATACTGTCACTTCTGGCGTCGTAATATTACTCACCTGTCAGGAAGATGTCTTATTAAACTGATATAAAAACATGAACAATGGCTTTATCTGACATGCACTTCATCTAAAAAGTATCTGACTTCTAATATCTCCAGTAGTCTATCATATGACTTACCCTTGGCTCAATGGTGTTCCGTTTTGACTTTTCCTTGTCCCATTAATGTTTACCATATCATTCCATCTTGTTCCGTGTTACCGAGCACTGTATCCTTGTCCAAGTATTGTTAGCGTGTAGCCTACCCTTGTGTAAGTTATGCTTCCGTATTCCTTTCCCTTGTCTCTATCAGGCCTTCCTTACAGCGTCCCCTTGTGTAAGTTATGCTACCGTATTCCTTTCCCTTGTCTCTATCAGGCTTTCCTTACAGCGTTCCCTTGTGTAAGTTATGCTACCGTATTCCTTTCCCTTGCCTCTATCAGGCCTTCGTTACAGCGTCCCCTTATGTAAGTAATGCTACCGTATTCCTTTCCCTTGCCCCTATGAGGCCTTCGTTACAGCGTTCCCTTGTGTAAGTTATGCTACCGTATTCCTTTCCCTTGCCTCTATCAGGCCTTCGTTACAGCGTTCCCTTGTGTAAGTTATGCTTCCGTATTCCTTTCCCTTGTCTCTATCAGGCCTTCCTTACAGCGTCCCCTTGTGTAAGTTATGCTACCGTGTGTCTTTCCCTTGCCTCTATCAGGCCTTCCTTACAGCGTTCCCTTGTGTAAGCTATGCTACCGTTTTCCTTTCCCTTGCCTCTATCAGGCCTTCCTTATAGCGTCCCATTATTTAAGTTATGCTACCGTATTCCGTTCCCTTGTCTCTATCAGACCTTCCTTACAGCGTCCCCTTGTGTAAGTTATGCTACCGTATTCCTTTCCCTTGCCTCTATGAGGCCTTCGTTACAGCGTTCCCTTGTATTAGTTATGCTACCGTATTCCTTTTCCTTGCCTCTATCAGTCCTTCCTTACAGCGTTCCCTTGTATAAGTAGTGATTCTTCCTATTACCCCGGTTATATCATTATGGTAAACTCTACATTCTTTAAGTTATACTTCCGTGTGATATCCTCTTGTCCAAGTTGTGTTACCGTAATATTTTCCCTTTTACGTTTCTTTGTCCGAATAGTGTTAACGTCTGACTCCTCCTGTCCGAATAGTGTTACATATGTAACTTCCCCTTGTAATTAGAGTGATATCATGTGACTTACCCTTGTGCCGTTGCTAATGAAGGACTCCGTCGTTTCGTCCCAGAACAGACAGCCTGACGTCCACAGTTGGTAGTCGTAAACCACCTCTGTGAGGCTCTCACTGAAGTCGACGTGTCCCTCTGTATAGAACGTCACTTATAGTTAGTATAGTGTAGAATGTTAAGTTTATGTCGAATATTGTTCCTGACCAAACTATCAAAAACAAAAGTCAAGATAAGAGGTAAGATGGTCTGTTTTGAAGAAATGCTTATTGAAAATTAAATCTGAAAGAGTTAAAATGTCAAAAACTTGAGTTTATTTTAGACTTTTTTCGCTTCTATTCAGTATGTGTACACTAATTGTAGAGACAAAAGGTAGATACTTGCTTTCAAGGCTGACGGACACAGTAAACTCGCCATTGGTTGGTGTGTAATTTTGAGGAGGGAAGTAGGTATTCCTTAGTTGAATCCATTGTGTATAATTTGTTTCCCGTATTTCGGGAAACACATCCTCTCCCAATGGCATACTAGCCTCGTGAATGCAAGGGGGGTCGACGGTCGAGGCGTTATACACCAGGCAAATGCGGAATTTTGTCATTTCCCAGTTCTCGCGTGAAGTTATTCGGAAGTGAAGGGACGATCCGTTATTAGCCATGGTGATTGAGTGGTAGAGGCTGACCTTGGGTGCACCTTGGACTTGCCTAATGGTTGCATTATATACTGGGACCTCGCATTTCGCTGGGCAACAAAAGAAAAATTACTTGTTCAAAATCAGACTTTCTTATCATGTGTTGCTTTCCTAAACAACATTTGAAATACTTTATGGCAAACACGATAAAGCTTTTTATCTTTTTGTCTTTTTATTAAATACTAGGTATTCTTTAGGCATAATAGCGCACAAATATTTTCTACGTGTGAACCTACAAGAGATGTACTGGTACGTCGCGATACAGTTACGACTGACCATCTACAATAACCTTTCTTGTAAGTTCCTCGCGTGCATCGAGTTTTCCACTATAATGTTTCTACAGCCCCCCCCCCCCCCC